CAGCCATTGGGGCCTTCGGTGGCGCTCCATATGAAGCCACGAAACGTGTGTGAGGCGTGCCGAAACGAAACGGGGCCGCCGTGCGAACCATGCCACTGGGGACTTCGGTGGAGCTCCCTTAATGGGGCCATTGAAACGTTATACTGTGAGGGGGGAAAGCTTGCGGACACCGCCACCGAAGACCCCAGTGACGGTGTCCACATGAATTTCCCGCACCCAGTGCAGCGTTTCTTGGCCCCTTAGGGTGCTCCACCGAAGGCCCCAGTGGCGGTGTCCGCATGCGCGTCCCCCACTCAGTACAACGCGTCGTTGCCCCATAGGGAGCTCCACCGAAAGCCCCAGTGACGGTGTCCGCATGCGCTTCCCACACCCAGAACAGCGCTTCGTGCGAGCTCCACCGAAGGCCCCAGTGGCGGTGTCCGTATGCGTTTCACCCACCCAGTACAGCGTCACGTAGCCCCTCCGGTAGCTCCATCGAAGGCTCCAGTGGCGTTGTCCGCATGCGTTTCCCCCACCTGGTTCAACATTTCGCGGCCCCATTTGGAGGGGGGGATACCTGAGTTCCCCCCCTTTTGATCGACCAAATGTTTGGGGCGGAGAAAGAAGCCACCTGCGACCCCCCCGTTCGGGAGCTCCCTCTACCCCCGCCCCTGAGCATCATGTACCCGATCCCTGACCCCACGGGCGTGGCCTGGGTCCTACTGGCCGGTCTACCCACTCCCAGATGGGAGTATATGGCTGCTCGCTTCGAGTTACGAGAGGCACATCTCCAGCTGGGGTGGTGGGATGGCGTGGATCGGGATGGGGACGGGGACAGAGGCCCAGGCAACTGCGGATCCACTAATGGGGGCATATCGCCGATTCAAGGTCGATGGAGATGGGGATGAGGATCGGTCAGGCGATACTGGTCCTGTGCCACCAGCCCGCCCCTGCCACCGCTACGGGGGCGCTGGCCACGATCGACGAGGAGCAGCGTGACGACAGCGACGTGCTGTGCAGTCCTCCTCCAAATCCTGCTCCTGCGTTACCCTATGTATTTCCTCACCCCTTCCCGCTTCTTGGCTACCTGCCAGACCACCCCAGTCCAAACCGAGGACCCAGATTTCGGGTTTGGGGGGCAAGAGTTCCATATGTGTTTTTGTACATGTTCCCCGACCCCCCCCCAACTGGGAATGGAGGGCAAGTTGAAGCCTTCGGGTTGGGTTGGGGTGGTCTGGTGGGTGGTGACTTCTGCCTTCTCCGAACAGCCTACGGGAGAACAGTGCATGCTACGAAGTCTGCTTGCTTACTCGTATCCAGCCTCTCCGCCCTCTCTGAGGACGTCCTTCCTAATTACGAGCGACGACTCGACGACAAGACGGGACTTTCCATCGGCAAACAGAAAAGAAAGTGGGAGGCCGGCGCCATCCGTATTTGCGCGCCTTCCGCATTCGCCTCCCGGTGTCATCCCCTGTCGTGCACCAGTCCCCCCTTGTCCTGAATCAGTCGCGTCTCGTCACGGATTCCTCGCCTGCGTCGTGGGAAAACCGCCCCTCTCCGCCCTCTCCTCCTTCTCCCCCCCCCCAGCCTTCTTCGACGTGTTCTCCCCCCCCCCCAGCCTTCTCCGACACCCTCCCCCCCCTCTCGCCATCGCTCGGACGGCCCTTCCCCGTGCACGTGCTTCGGCTCCCTGCCTGTACGTCCGCGCAGGATGACCCCGGATGCTCCTCCATGGCCCCTGCCGCGCACAGAGCGCACGCGCCCGAGCCGTGCCGGGCCCCCCTGCCGCGCCGCCCTTCTTCGACCGGGGGACCGACTCCAGCATTGCCATTGCTGTACCCCAAAGCTGACTTCTTCACGTCGGCTCTCCAAGTAAAAACACGTCAACCACTCGCAGATCTGCGCGAGCTCTGCGGAGTGCCCGTGGATCCGACAAGAAACAAATCAAACCTGGGCCAAATTGTAAGTCGGGCGTGTCCCCCTACAGGGAGAGCTTAGGCGAAACATTGAAACCAAAACAAAACTCAAGAACATGCCCCCAACATATTCAAAACAAATCAAAAAAATCATCCCCGGGCAATGTTTTTACAATTTCTGAAGATTCCCCCTGTAGAGGGACACGCCCGACTGAAGACAAGAAAAAAGTCAATCCTGGGTCAAATTCAATTCTGCAGGCGATCACCTGCTCGAAACTTCTGCTCCTGGCCCGCTCCCGCCGTCCTCGCCTCCCCCGCCCGCTGCCGCTCCTCTGCCCCCCCCTTCCCTCGGGGGAGAGACGGCTGGTGCGCGCCTCGCCGCCCCTCCTTGCTCCTCCCCCTCCTCCATCCTCCCTCCTCCTCCTCCTCCTCCCTCCTCCTCCTCCTCCTCCTCCTCCATCCTCCTCCTCCTCCTCCTCCCTCCTCCCTCCTCCTCGGGAGAGAAGGCGGGGGGGGGGGAGCCGCCCGGGAGAGGCCGGCCAGGGAGCGGGCGCCGCACGCCTTTGCCTGGGAGAGCTTGTGCCGAGGGCTTGTCATTAAACCGCTGGGCATCGCACCGGCCGCCCCTGCCCCGTGCACGCTTCGATTTTCCGCGCGTGCCTTTTTGCTGAAAGGGCCCCAGGGACACACAAATGAATACACGCGAATCCCAGGATTCCCATAGTTTCCCATATGTTGCTCGGTTTTCGTCTTCCCCCCCCCCCACTTCCCATATTCTCCTACATCTTCCTGGGAATCGACGATTCATTATGTCTGTGTGATTTTTTCCCCTCCTGATTTTTGTCCGCCAGGTGATCCCAAGTGCTTCGGCCGAGCGGTGCCGAGGCCATCGGCACCCCTGGGTACATCTGCGTATTTTGAGCAGGGACCGACCGTCCCGGCATTCCTAGTCCTACCACAACATGTTCGTAGAACCCAAAAATGTTGTTCTAAAAACAAAAACAATGTTCTTATAACGTTAACACTATGTGTGAACAAAGACAGTCTCCACCAGAAATGTTCTAAGAACATTTCGTGGAAACCATAAAAGGTTCTTCGAACATTGCTTGGTCGGACTATAGGCGCGCCAGGACGCTTCGTCACTGCTTGATTATTGCCCCTCCCCCCTGGGCTGTTCGCCCCCCTCGCCGCCCATGGCCCGGAGGCGGCCGCGGGGCACGGGGCCCAGGAAGCACGGACAGCACGAGGCCAAATGCTTCCCAAGATGGGGTCCCGCGACCTCTCCGGGGGTCCAGCTGGTGCAAAAATGTCGTCCAGGATCCGCTCTTCACTTCCTGGGAACCCCGCGGAATCCAAAGAGGAACCTGAAGGCATCCCCAGGAATCCTTCCGGAATCCCTAGGAATCCTTCGGCATCCCGGTCCTGGGGACCGGCAGCACGCCCCCCCCCCCCGGCTCCCAGAACCTCGAGCCTGTCCGCCCTCCGTGCCGGCCGGCAGCAGAGCCGAGCCACCTCAGGCCCCAGACGGCTCCAGCCCCCCTCGCCGCCCCCGACACTCTTGATGGGCCTGTCTTCCACGACCACCACCATAAGTTGGAGGGGGGGAAGGAGGAGGACGAGGAGGAGGAGGAGGAAGAGGAGGAGGATGAGGAGGAGGGGGAGGAGGACCCCCTCCCCCTCCAACGTATGGTGGTGGTGGTGGTGGTGGTGGTGGTGGTGGTGGTGGTGGTGGTGGTGGTGGTGGAAAACAGGCCCATCAACTCTCCCGTCACCCCCCCCCTTTCACGCGCCAGCGCGCGCCCTCTCGCAGGGCCTGGCTGGGCGCGCGGCTGCGCTGCGCCAGGCGAGCGCCAGGAATCGCGGGCCGAGCGCAGCGCGCGCACGTCGCTCGACCCGGTCGGGTCCAGCCCCGCCCGTGGCCGAAGCGAGTCGCCGCGTGGCGGTGCGCAGCCTCGAGGCGGCCGAGGGCACCCTCGAGGCGAGCGAGCAGAGGAGCGCCCATCCGGCTCGGCGTAGCGGGCAGAGCCGCGCCCTCGCAGGGCGAGGACGAGGAACGCCGTGGCGCACGAAGGGAACATGCGCATAGTCTCATACCGCGGTCAAGGACTGGTCCTCCAATCCCCGCCATTCCGGCACATGTCGGTTGCCGTGCGTCGCGCGGTGCAGTGGCCCAAGCTTGTGCCCAAAACTCTGCACGAGGGCTATCGGATCTGGCCGCGGGCATTTTCGGAAAGCGCCAAGGCGTGACCGAAAGGTTGGTTCGGAACCACAGCGAGTTCAATGTCGGAGGAGGAGGAGGAGGAGGAGGAGGAGGAGGAGGAAGAGGACGAGTTTTTTGCAATGCACGGCAGCCAGGCGCACACCCAAATCGCGAAAGCAAAAAGGCCGGGCGACAGGCTGGCAGTAAAAACACGCGGGCTAAACACCCGCCGAGGGCCACTCGCAGACCCCAGGCCTGGGAGGGAGGCCCTTGCGCAGCCGCAGCAGGGCAGTAAGCTGCGCCTTGGTCAGCGCGGAAGGTCCGTGCCTCGCCGCCTCGCACTCCTCCAGAAGTCGCGAGGGCCTGGAGTCAGCGTAGCGCCCGCAGAGGCTGCAAAAAGTGATGGCACCCTTGCGCCACAAAAAGTGAGAGGCATGCGGCACATGTCCAGCAATGCCCGTGCCAGGAGGCAAGCGAGAGGGGGGATCAGGCATCCCCAGAGAACGAAAGAGCTGCTCGTCGATGGGCGGCAGCCCCGAGTACGAGCGCGGCAGCCTGACGCAGACCCGAAGCGCGGGAGCTGCTTCCGCCTCTGGCTCGACCGCAGGCTCGAGAGGCACCTCACCGTCCCCCCCCCCGTCCTCGTCCGCCCCGTCCCCCTCCCTCTGATGGCCTCGCTGCTGCAGCTCCACGCGGCAGGGAGGCGGGCTAGGCGGCGGCCGCAAGGCCGAGCAAGAGGAGCGCAGCAGGTGGAGGGCGCGGCTCTGAGAGCGCCTGACCGATCGGCCACAGCTCTTGCAGCACCAGCCGAACGCGGTCAAGGCAAAGGCATGCTGGGAACGTGCCGCAAAGCCCGAAAGCAGCTCCTCCCTCCTCTGAGCCCTAGAAACCTTGGGTTTGGTAACCTCACGGCCAGGGCTCTTGGGGGCGGAGGCGGCGGCAGCACAGAGAGTGGCATTGCGGAGCAGGATGGCCTCGGCCTGCTCCACCAGGTCCAAAGCGCGGCGGGCAACGTCAGGATCGAGCTGAACCTCCTCAGCCCGCTCCTCGGCGAGCCCATCGGCCACCGCATTGAGAAAAATAGCCTCGGGCAGCACAGAGTGGCCGAGACGAGCAAACTTAGCTGGGTCCTCGGCAAGATGCGAGGGCACGTGCAGGAGCGAGAAGCGGCCCTCGCGGGCGTCAAGCAGCGAGAAGAGATCGTGCCAGAGGTCCGCGTGCTCGAGCTTGTAGCAGTGGCGGCGTCCGCGCGCTATCGCATTCACGTGATTCACGTGGTCGGAATAAAGCTTGAAATCGGCAGCAGGGTGGACGGCCCTGACGCACTCCACAATGGCCAGGAGCTCAGCGCGAGGCACAGTTTGCACAGGACCGTCCACCAAGCCCGTGCAGCCAGAGTCCCAGTCCAAACCTTGGCCGTCGTCAAGGCGAGCGAAGCTCCACGCCACACGGCGTAGCAAGGGCTGAGACGACCAGGCTCCACCTGCACCGTCGGTAGCGTAGATCCCCCCTGGCAGCGCCCCGACGCCGCAGCGCAGCCAACGATGGCCACGCTCGTCGGGGGACGGCGGGAGGTTCAGCCAGGCGAGGGGCACAAGCCCGCGGCACCAGAAAACAGGGAAGCGGTCGATCTCCTCCAACGCCTGACTGCGAAGGTGGTTGGAGGAGACCACAGCCTCAGGAGGGGGAGGCACACCGACCGAGAGCGCCCAGTCCCTCTCCATGGAATTGCACATGCATTCCCAGAAACGATGACGGCTGGATTCACGGGAGCGGTGGCAGCGCTGGCACAGGTCGTCCGTGCGGTAGCCAGCCTGGAAACGTCGCTCCTCCGTCCAGTAGCCACCGCATGCAACTAGGCGAGCAAGGCTGGCAAGACTGTGCTGGGACTCCTTCTCCAGCCGCTCCGCCAGTGCAGGCACGTGCTGCCACCAGACGCCCTCCTCCGCCCCACCCCCGTCAAGATGCTTGGCCGCCTGGCGCCAAACCGCGTTCTCAGCGGTCTGCTCCAGAGCCGCGAGGAGGCTGGTGACGGGGGCGACGGTGGTGGCGAAAAGCTCCCACTCCTGCCCGTCTGGCTCAACCAACTTGGACAGGGACGGGCACTGCCAGCCAGCAGAAAGGACAGAGGCCTGAAAGGCCGAAAGCGGGCCGCGCACGAAGTTCCAGCCGCGCGCCACACGCTCCAGGGACGCGTCCCATCCTCGCTGGACCTTGGCAGCGAGGCCGTCCTCTCCAAGGACTCGAGAGTAGAACGCACCTACGATGTGCCGCAGGTACCAGATGGGCGGGTCGCGCCGCGCCCCAAAACTGATGCGAATGGCCACAGTAGCGCACGTGCCGCGCTGAGGACACTTGCTGGCCAGCCGCGCCTGACCACGAAGCTGCTTCAGCATGGTCGGCGCCAGCCCGTGTACCTCAGGCGCCCACACCGACTTCGGCAGGGCATTGGAGACGAAAAGGCGTGAGGCTCGCGGCGCGGACCTGACCAGTCCCGAAATCTTGAGAGCGGCGCGCCTGCCCTTCATGAAACGCTTCTTGCGCACCTTCACGGAGCGCGAGGCACCGAAAGATGTGTCGTGGCCGAGGTCGCGGGCAACACGAACAGTCCTGAGGCCACCAGCCCCGACCTCGGCCGCCGACGCCCACGCGGGCAGCAAGGCGCGGATGGCAGCAGAAGAGGCCATGAGGCCGCACTTCCCCAGGGAAAACTCGCATCGCAGCCTGCGCAGGCCCGTAAAGAGGGCGCGCAGCACCACTGGAAAGGCCAAGCTGAGCGAGTGCTCAGTGCCGAAAAGGCGGAAGGCGAGATCGTCGATCCACTCCCTCAGGCGCAACCCTGGCACCAAGGAGTGTGCCGCCTTCAGCGGGGCGTGCAGGTAGGCGCGCGCCTGCGAGACAGCTTGGCCACAGCCGGCGAGGATGCCTCCACCAGGCAAGATACCTGTGTGCACCTGGCGCTGGAGGGTGAGGAGGCGAGGACCGAGGTAGACGTCGAGGGCGAGAGCGAGGAGGCGGAGAGGGTAGCCTAAATCCTGGGCCGCCGCCGCCAAATCAGGCAGGGACACCAGGTCGTAAAACTTCCGAAGGTCGAGCAGTCCGCCCGCAACCTCGAAGCCTCCCAGGAGCGCAAGCTCCCCCTCCAGCTCGTCCAACCACCCCGCTAGATCGGCCGAGCCGCCTACTGTCTTGTCCCAGGCCCCGTGCTGGTCACGGTCCCAGGCGCCTATCACTGGCTTCCTAATGCGGCATAGCAACACGTAGCTGAAATTGAGCAAGGCGATGGGCCTCAGGCCTCCATCCTCCTTGTCCAGCAAGGCGATGAGGTTGAACAGCTCTTGAAAGGGCACTGTGGCCTCGCGCTCGATGGCCGTCAGAAGGGCCGCGAGCGCATCGATGGCAGCAGGCGGCGCATCCTTGACCAGGCGAGGCGGCATCATGTCAATCCCCCTCCCCCGACGATCAGGAACGGTCTTTAACGCCCCCCTCACCTGGTCAGGAGAAACAGGCTCGAAGCAGGCTGACGACAGAGCAGCACGGCGGATCCTCGCGAGGGCCTCCAACGCCTCGGGCCGCGAATGCTTGCACCAGATTGCGTGCCACGAGGCGCCTTCCGCCTCCAGCACGGCAGAGGGCGTGGAGGCAGGCTCTCCATCCCAGACAGGCTCGGCGCGACAGATTGAGGGAGAATCGCGGAGGAGCCTATGGGCTTTGCTAGCAGAGCCCGCCAAAGCGTCGGACAACCAGGAGCGCCAGCGCGCACGGGCCGCCGCAGCCGCGCGCTGGGCAGCCTGGACTCCCTGCTCCTTAGCCTCCTCCGCGATTTGCTGAAGGCTGTCGAGCGACAGCGAGCGAAGCTGGCGGAGCCAAGAGATCCAACGCTCAAGGATCGCTTTCTCCACCGCGTCGTTCGGATCGAAAGGCGGGGGCAGCTGCAGGGCCTCCAGCCCGCGCATCGTGCTCCAGAACTGCTCACCACAGCGGGCGCGCGGAGTAGACGGCTCGGAAGGATCCGCCTCGGGATCAGCCAAACGCAGAAGCAAGGAGGCCTGCACAGCGAGGGCCTGCCAAAAACGGGCATGGCGGTCAGCGAGAGGAGGGCCGTCGCTGGCGCGTGGCACGATGGGGGCGTACTTGAGGCGAGGCTGCTGGCACCGTCCTACGTACAGAGGCCACTGCGAGCGAGGGATTCCTTTTTTGGCACAGTGCACGAACTCCAGAGCCAGGGCCCACTCCCCAAGCTGGCTTCCGAGCAAAAGGGCAGTCTGCGGCACATCGTGATCGGCAATGGCGAGGCTAGCCGCCTCAAAGTTAGAAGTAAAACGGGCAGAGGAGCGCTGGCGAAGGGCTCGGGCCTCAGAGAGGGCGACGTCCCAGTCCAGGTCGTAGCTCTCGTTGGAGGCGACAAAGATGTCCAGCGCCTTCGGCATGACCACGCACCAACCCATGAGCGACCTCGGGTTGGCCAGGATGTTGTAGGAGAGCGCAAGGTGGGTGCCCCACGGGGCCGAGACGTCGACCCCTGCAAACTGCACAGCCGACGCGAAGGAGGACGAGACCAAGGCGTAGTCGATGGCACGCCCCGCGCCCCTGCCACCAGTACACGTGACCTGCAGACCCGACTGCACCTCGACCAGGCCAAGCGCCGCCATGAAGCCAGTCGTCGCCAGCTCGCTGGACAAAGACTGCCAGTCCCCAACGATGAAGAGAGGGCCCGCCAACTGGCCGAGCCGAGCACCCACTTGAGAAAGCAACTTGAGGTTGCGGCCGCCCAACTCCTCGCCAGAGACCATGTAGATCGGAACGATGGTGAGCGTGACGTGGCGCAGCCTGAGGGTGGCCACGCACCAGCGCGAACAGGAACTTGATGTCCAGCCTCCGCTCGCCTCGAGGCACAGCGAGGCGAGCCCGAATCGGGCACGAGCGAAGATCACCACCCCCGCCGACGTGGAAGAGGCTTCCGTGGCGTCGGCCTCACCGCCAACCGCCTTCCAGCCCAGCCGCCTCGCGGCCGCGCACATCTGGGTGTACTTAACACCCCGCACCCTGGTCTCAACCAAGACCACCACGTCGGCAGGCGTCTCCGCCAGCCAGCGCTCCGCCTGGGGCCCCCAGCACGAGATGTTCCCGTACACCAGCCTCAGGAAGCGGCCCTCGGCGTCGGAGCCCAGGCTACCCCCGCGGGGGGGCCGCCGCCGCCGCCTCCTGCTTGGCAGCTGCGCGGGCCGCGACCTCGTCGGTCACATCGGTGTGCGCCTCTGCGAGGGTGCCCTCTGGCCCTCGCGCCTCCCAGGCGAAGCCCCGCTCGGAGGGGCCGCCGGGCGCTCCAGGGACTCACCCGTGCCCTCGCGGGAGGCCCGCCGACCTCGGGCCTCCCGCGGAGGAGCCGGACCTCTCTACACATCGCTGGCCTACACCAAACCCTTCTCCTCTAGGGAACCGAGCTCTATACACCGACGCTTTTTCTGGCCCGGCACTGAAACTCGCACAGGAAAGCGGATCCTGGTGTAGACGGGGTGCTGGAGTATACATGTTCGTCATTCCACAAGGGCAAACAGGGGAACAACTATACACCACACCACCCCGACGTCGTTCCTGACCCTCAAAAAGTCCAGGGATTGAAAAACAGCACGCCACTGGTTATGTATATGTTCCAAATTCCGATCCTCCTTTCCTCCTCCTCCTCCTTCTCCTCCTCCTCAGCCTCCTCCTCAACCTTCTCGTGAGGACCTCAGAAGATGCCCGGCAGCGGGAAGACACCTCCAACACTCCCGCAAAGTCACCCGACGCAGCAAGCTATAAGTGCAGCAGGCCTATAGCACATGTCCTGCTCCTCCGCCGCCTCCTCCATCCTCCCTTCCGCCTCGCTCCTCCCTCCGTCGATCGCTGAATGGGCGGCCGCGGGAGTCCAGCGGAGGTTCTGGCGCGGGCCGCTCGGCTACGGCTCCATGTACTTGAGCCGGTCGAAGATGCCGAGGCCAAAGCCTGCCACGGGCTCTCCGCCGAGGGGCTCTCCCGGGGCACGAGCAGGCCCAGGCCTCCACGCGTCGTGTGGCAGAGTCACGGCGCATGCGTCTTTCCCGAGGTGTGGGCCTCGGAAGGCCCGCTTCGGGCCCCAAGAGCGTACAAGAGCACGCCCCGCGGAAGAAACAAATGTCGTGGGGGTGACATCGACAGGTCCCCAAGGCTGCGAACCTATCCTGGCGAGGCACTCTAGAGGCCGTGTAACAGACGCTCCAGTGCGGACCTCGCAGATTCAAACGATTCGGATGCACGCAGGGTGGAGACGTCTGACTTCGGAGACCTGGGATCGTGATAGTCCTCTGCCCATGCCAGCCTCTCTGCGCCTGGGAGACCTGAACACGTGAAAGCACAATGCGCCTGCCCCGCCCGCTGAACCTGGGGTACGAGACCTATGTTGCATCACAGCAGCACTTCGGCCCCTGACTCTCGTCATGGGCTCGGTTTATTGAAGTGATGAATTTCGAGGTCCTCACGTGGGAAAAAATATCACTTCACTAATCTGGGGCCCCTGGGGCCTCAGTGGGCCCTGGGGCCCAGAATTAGCGACGTGATGGTTTTCGGGCCTCGAATGGGGGGACGTCGAGGGACGAGAACCGTGCGCCGCGTGCCTGCCGAAGCTCTCTCGCATCGAACAGGCCGCGTCACGACGGCAGGCCAGCCAGGAACAAACCGTGCGGCTTCGTAGCAGCTCGCCCGCTGCTGGCCCGCGCGGGAGAGGTGGGCGGAAGCAGGACAGTGGCGGGGAGGCAAGGGCAGCAGCAGTAGGCAGGCCTGGGGTCTCGGAGGCCTGGGCCCCTCTTCCTGCACCAGGGGAAACATGGCATGCCGACATCGGTGCCCCCACGACGCAGTCGGGGCCTTGCAGGCCCGGAGTGGTGAGAATCCTGTGCCCCTGCGTCGGGCACCTGGACCCGGGGCGCACGACTTGCTGGAGCTGGGACTCGCCATCCGCGTGCGGGCAAGCACGGGCAATGCACACGGGACGCACCATTCCATGGACCCGGACGCGCCATCCCAGAGCGGGCGCGCACGGGATGCGCCTAGCCAGAGGCCAGCTGGGGCGCACCATCCTGAGGCAGGCATGCAAGGAGTGCACCAGTGCACCCCGCGCGTAGCGGTCTGGGGCGCGCCCCAGCAGCGGCCCCAGCCCGGGAGGCACCAGCCACGAGCCGGGTACGTGCGGGAGGCG